TATTTATGTATTGTTTTATTTTCTAACAGCGGCTTTGTTCCTTCATTTACGTGCCTCAAATAATGTTCGGCAAACTCAAAGATTTTAACTCACTCATCAATTATATGGCTGTCAGAAATATTCGTAAAATTTAATTTCTATTTTTTTTTTTCGAAATCGATGCTTCTCCTGTGGTTGGATATTTTCCGATGCCTTCGTAAAATGTGTCGACGTTTGTTTTGCATTTTCTTTGAAAACAAAAGCAAATGATTTAAATAGCTATAACATGTTTGATATGGACGAAATAAATAAAGGAGATATTAGAAGACGTCTCTTAATATTTATCGTCTGAGTCAATTAATTCTACACAAGTTAATAATTGTTTTATTAATGGCATATGGCGGTAGGTAGCAAATGCAAATGGAAACCGGGAGTTACGGAGAGTAATGATCGCCCCCGTCCTGAAGTAATTCGGTACATAAAAAAAGAAAATAAACTACATCTTACTTATTATAAAACACAGATTGTGTGTGTGTGTGTCTGTACGTTTATATATTGGATCGGATTTCCTACATTTTTCAACCGATTTCAGCAAAACTTCACAGGACTGCGTAAAATTACCTTGCGGTGGTTCTGACAGCGCCAGAAATTGAAAAACAATTGTTTTTGCACGAAATCAACTTGAAAACACGATAAAACACGATTCTGTCGCCAGAATGAAAGGGGGACAACTCATATCGAGTTATACTTATTATAAAATCCAGGTTGTTTGTGTGTGTGTGTGTGTTCGTTTATATATGGGAACGGATTTCCTACATTTTTCAACCGATTTCAACAAAACTTCACTTATTTTGGCAGGTAGTGTTTCTTATTGTCTTGCACACTTTTTTCTTTATTTTTACATTCAGAATGCTTTAAAAATTCTATTTACAAACAATTGTTTATAATAAAATTCTATTCAATCGAGAGACTCATAACGATTGAAAACAATGTTTTTGTTTGAGTTTGGGTTTGACCAATTCGTAAAAAAACAAAACAAAAAAACAAAAAAAAACTAATTAAGACATGCGTGTCAGTCAACGTTAAACAATAATCTTTGTCAATTTTATTTTTCAGTCTTTATGGTGGTCGATACTTGATCTATCACTTACTGTTACATCCCCGGGCAACGCCGGGCTCTCCTGCTAGTATAGTATATTACGAGGTTGCTAAATCTTCTGAAATTTTTCGAGTAGCTCTGGACTTACTTTTTTCTGCTTTGCCTTTTAAAGCTTCAGAATTGACTAACGAAAGTGCATTAAGGTTAATGCTTACTAATACAGAAATTCGAACCAGGTACCAAATTTAAGTGACGTCTCCATCTTCATAACTGCCGTTGAATCACTTCATTCTTCCGCAGATTTGTGTTAAATAGTACAGTAGAATGTACCGTGTAGCCTCGCTGAATTCAAGACTTTAGAGAAATTAACGAGAAACACAAACACGAGCAGGCTAAACACTATCACGTGGCGTAATGCTTACCAAGCTTGTCTCGCTAGATCAATTACGACTGAGAAGTGAGTTCGATCCTCACTGGGTCTTGCGTCACATCTACGCTACGCTTAAAAAGTCGCCACCAGATCAGGTCACAGATAATAAAGAAAATGAAACCGAGGTCGCTAACATCTTGAATGAACATAGAATAATATTTTATAAAAATCCATAATGGACGAAACGAGTTCAAGTCCTGATGTTGCCTGAACAAATGCCTTTTGGAGAAGGATTAATTAATATCTTCTTCTACACCTATTGGTTAAATAAAAGGATAGACTGGACTCTTTGTTGGCAGCCAGTTTCGACGAAGGACAAACCTGAATTCAAAACCGCGAAGAAACTGCGGTAAAACACTGCACTCACTTTTCTAAGAACAATCGTGTCAAATAACTGATGAGAAATGCATTTATGTAGCGTTATCGTTGCTTATGTCATGAATAGACGTAGCATTAAAATATTTTTAAAAATATCTACAACTGATGGTAATCTACCTCTGGATGGAAATCCCTCCATTGTAAAAAAAAAAAAAAAGTTTAAAGTAATGGCAGCGGATTTGAGAATTAGCTAAAAATATTGCTACTCTATTGCCAATTTGTCAGTATTAATATTTATCATATCCATTCGTTTATACACACACACACACGCATACACACACACACACGCACACACACACACACACACATATATATATATATATATATATATATATATATATATATATATATAATTTTTAAAAAAAAAAAATAGGTAATCCGTATGGGTAAACTTAAGGAGGATAAAATCCAGAAACAAATATTTCCATATAAAATTATGCAGTAAAACTATTTATAACAAAATAAATACATCATTATTACATTGGTACCATTATTCTATGGATAGTTTACACATCTTTAAGGTTAATTGGATTTTATTTCCTGATTTGCTCGTAAACGCTTTTATAAAACAAGTATTACTGAATTAAACCGAAATTCGATCGTATTTTTATCACTAGGTGACAGACTGTAGTGAAAATCGCTTAATTTCACAAACTGAGATATTTTAACAATATTCCGTTAATACAAATCTCGCTACGATGCGCTGTTTTTGCTGAATCATGCATCTACAAGCAAAATTCGGAACATGGATCATGTTATTGTTAGATGATGACGTTATCTCATTTGAAAATGTGCCTGTCAAAAGGAACATAAATTTACAAATATGTTAGCAATATATTCTTACATAATTATTATCTTTAGATTATAGGCTCAAGTCGGAATTGCGTTATTCTTCAAATATGTTTAACAGCGTTACCGTAATAAAAGCCTCGTTACGATATGCTGTTTTTGGTGGATTATCTATCTCCAAACAAAACTCCGATCATTTAACATACATAAATTCACACTGACGTTTTACAGGTGGAAACAATGATGTTACCATATTTCAAATTATGCCGCATAAAACGAACAGAACTTTGCTAATGTATCAGCACTAAATTATATCCTTAAAAAGTTTGAAGAGACACCTTGACAGTTAAAATGTGTAGCTCCAGTTTGCTAAAGTTAATTTAAATTACTAAGCATGTCCGCCAAAGATACTAAGTTACGGCCATATCGTTAACATAATGTCCATTAAAATTTCAACAGTCTTTTAATTTATTATTTCGTCCTAAGCAAGGCAATAAAGTCACTGAGGCACAAAAGGTTACCGAGTGTGAAACATTACGAAGAAAAGGACACATTATTTAGAAGAGAGAACAATAAAAGAACAGGGATTAAGAAGACAAAAAATAACAAATTGACATTGGATTTTAATTTTTAAACTCAAATTTGCCTGTAAAGAAATATATTAGAAGAGAGAAGAACGAGAGAAGGAACTGTTACCATAGAACTTACGGTTACATCTAGATACGTGAGCTGTGCAATGATGTTACCTTGCTGCCAATCTAATACCGTGCTTTTTAAATTCCTAAAATCTGGGCATCAAAGCGGAAAACTTTTAGTAACTTCCTTTATTTTTGAGTTACAAAAATGCATTTATTGAAATTAACATTTGCCAAACTATGAATATCTGTTTTGATTTTGCAGCTTTAAATATGCGGAATTACTGAGACACCAGCTGATTTTGTCACAAAAAAAAATCAACGATAAAATGAAAATCAGTTCAGACATGAATATTTTTCCTAGTCAAACGAAATTTTACTGGAATTTAATGATTTCCATAAGAGGAAGAAATAACGGCCCGATTTCTTTCTAACAAGGAAGCCTTTAAATTCAGTCAAAGATGCAATTGGAAGAAAAGGATTTATGGAATTTAAATGTTTACTTAAATTTTCGACGATTTTTCAAATGTCTTTAATTCTATTCCTGTTTATTTGTTAATAAATTATTTAACAATTTAACATTTTAAACGCTGGGAATTCCATATTTGCAGAAAATAAATTTTATATTAAAATATTCTCTTATATTTTTTTTTTCTTTCCGAAAGGAAAACTTTACGAATAATCGAATTAACATTAATTTGTTAATCTTATTTCTTTATTTATTAATATACGATTAACGGAGACGTCTCCGTACAGTACAGGGGAGAGAGTTTCCGAGTTCCAGCACTCAGATTACCTTGAGGCCTCCTGGTCGAATAAAGAGTTGCTGGGACAAGCAAACTCTATATAGCGTGTCATGTTTTCATGGTTATTGTTTGGTTGAACGTTATAGTAGATGGACTTTATGAAATTAAGCGCACTATTAGATTGACTTCAAGAACATTGGCGAGTAGGGGGAGAGAGAAAATAAATAAATAAATTTAAAGATTAAAAAAAGGAAAAAAATTAAAAATTAAAAAAGAAAAATGTAAATGGGTTTTTGCTAGAGCGAAACTATACTCACACAAGGCAGCAAGTGGTTGTCCGCTTTCTTCCACATCATGGCAACTGAATGTACAGCTTACCTTAAGTCCAAGCGTCGACCTGGTGGTGGGGGATCAACGGCCAATTCTCCGCCCTCACCAAATAGTGGGCTTGGGAGATATGCTTTCAATAAAATTTAGAACAGGAGAAAGAAACGTCGAGAACAATTCCAAGTTGCATCCTAGTGGCTTCCCACCTTGCTTGGGGCGAAATGCGTGACTGTCTGGTAGGATTGTGATAGGTTGAATATCATTTTCTATTAAGGTCTCTATTTGGTATTTTTGTGATAAATATTTATGCATCTAATAATACAACACATGGCATTCCCAAATCTTCGTAGGGAGCGCTCTTTTAAATAACTTAAATAACTATCGACGTAAAAGAAATGCTTCATGACTTCCTTACCAACTTGGCAACCCTTGTGAACGAGTATGATTTGCTACAAGAATTAATCTTTGAGGAACTCATCACGCTTTTTGCTTCAATGAAAGTTCGAAAAAATGTACTTTTAAGCTGTTGGTTTTAGTTCTCGTATTTTTTCTTCAGTGAAATACCGATTCGTAATTTTGCTCTTTAATTTTTGTAAAAAATCCCCCAACCCCTAAAGGTATTTACTTGAGGCCCCTCGGGTTTCGAAGCCCGGCACATTTGTGCCAGCGGATCTCTCTCTCTCTCTCTCTCTCTCTCTCTCTCTCTCTGTCACTGACTCCATATGTCCATAGCCGTGTAATGTAAAAGTTTTACCTTGCCACATTCTCAAAACGTTTTTTTCTCGTTTGTCAAGCACTTAACACGTTGTTTCATCATTTAAACTAGGAATTGATGAGACCTTGCAGCCAATCTAGTACTGCGCTTAAATTCATAAAGTCCATGTACCATAGAGAAGAGTTCAACCAAAGAATTTCTATGAAAGTATTTATAGTAAAAGTATAGCGAAACTACATTACAGCAGTGGGAAAGTCACTGAAGCCGAGACGCCACGCATATTACTAATAATATTGCTGATTGTTCTTTGTATTTATGGCCATTTTTCTGATTAAGTTTTTTTCTTTGGTGTTCTTAACGTTACGAATTTGTCTGGAGTACACAAGATTGGCAAAAAGGTCGCATCATTTTCTGTTGAAATTGCTAAGCTCTATTCTAACACCGTCACACTTCTCGCCTATTGAACTCACTTCAAGCTTTTTGCTTTCCTGTCAAATACGATTCTCCCAAATTTCTCATCGTCTGTCTCTTAGAATCCTGCATTTTTTATTCTCCGTTATGTTCAGCAATGTTTTCTCATCTTTCTTCATTCTCAATAATCCCTTGCGCCCCAGTCGACGTTTTTGATGTCAAGTAAATAAAGGAGAAAGTGGCACCCTCCAGGACACTCCCCCCAACACAATGATTTAAATTTTATAAAATCAGAAAACTTCGACGACTATAATATTAAATAACAGATTAATATTTCCACATCATATCAGATTTTCAGAAAATCTTTGAAATGACTAAGCGTAAGGATCCCATAAAAAAGAAAAGATTTTCAACAGCTTTGAGTTTCTTATACCTTGCAATGAATGACCTAATTGTAGTAAATGGAATATTCGGGTTGTCTGTCATTTCTCTGTAACTTTCCAGAACTTAAGAATCAGTTCCTTTTGCGAATTTCTCAATTCCTTATCTCTTGTCATGTCAAAGATTCTTGCACGAATATCAATTACAGAATGTTCTGTTTGCATTTTTTAGACTCAAACAACTACTGATAACATTATTGGAACATTCTAGAATATTTCACTTGAATAATCTATAGTATTAAAGCAATTTAAAAGTTTTAAAATCTGAAATTTGCATTGTACGAATACTCTTTTGCCCATTAAAATGGATGAATAAAAGACTATTCAATTTTTCGGCTTAATTGAGTGTGCATTATATGTATGTTTTAGTGTGTTGTAGAGCTGTTTTTAATTTCAGAATACGGTTAGCACATTGTGGCTTTGTACGTAGTTAATATTGTTAAGACATGACTTTTTCTTTTTTATTATTAAAGCTCCCATTATTTTTTTATATTTGAAAAGTCGATGAAGTTATTATATTTGTGTTTTCTACTAGTATGTTGCTAATGGAGTCTAGTAATGTTGTGTGCGTGTTTAAATGGATCCTTATAAAGCTATGATCAGATGTGTGTAACGTAAGATAAGCATGTTGTTGTGTAACCGATGTAATTATAAATGAGTTCGGTTTCATCCTTGATAATGGCTAAAGGTATAGCCGAAAGCACTCGGAAGTATAAAACATTTGGGCAGTTTTTACACACTCTTTGATCAGAAAAGAAAGTTCTTGTTTGAACACAGGAAAAATTGAATAAAAAGCTTAACCGTAGTACCCTGTCTGTTGTTTTTAATGAAATATGCATATATATATATATATATATATATATATATATATATATATATATATATATATATATAAACAGAAATTATTAGGATTTGAGATAATCACAATTAAGTAATTCCTCTAGAAGAAATCTCAACGGAATCCGGAAAACTCTGGACGTCCGTTTCGTCCATCAACAGTATGCATCCACTACCGAGAATCGAACCCAGATCGCAAGCATCATACCAACTGTACCAATGGGCCTCGGTGACGAAGAGGTAATGAATTAGACTCAATATAGCGGCGCTCTTCACAAATTCCGTGACGTAACTCATCTGAGTTTCCCTTACCCATAGTCACGTCCTGTGTCTCCAAGCTGCTCCATCCAGATCAAGCAAATTGGATATATATATATATATATATCAACAGCTAAGATAAGTTTTTGCCAATGAAGGGCATAATCCATGCAATTTTATAGTAAAACTGCAGTGAAATTCTTCATATAATCTTACTATTTTTTCTTTCGTTGTATATGGAGAACTTGAGTGATTGCATGGTCTGACGCATTTGTTCGTTAAATCCTACAATTCACTTGTTAAAAAAAATGATCCTCGACATAATTTCCTTTGAAAAATGCACTGCAGATCTTTCTCGATAATCCGTAATGGAATTATCCACACCTCGATTTTCCGGATTTTGGTTATCCGTTCATAGAAATGAAAGGGAAATTCAAATTAGCCGCACATTTTCCAGTCGTCCGAACTAAACAGATTGTAATATTTAATCTCAATCAACCTTTTTGGAGAATTTAGAACACCATACTTAACATTCGAGACTTCGAGTAGCAAAAACGGAAGCATTGATTATGTCTGCCCCATGTTTAACCTGGTAAAGCTTTCAACCATAAGCTACCCATACAAATACATTTACTTTTAACCAGCGTGTGCGAGTTTTTTTTTTATAATCACATCAACTCATACAAAGCAGTAAAGACACTAAGGCACAGTGAATGAATAGGAAATAAGAGAAACATTATGAAGAAGCGAGAACAGAAGTAGAGTAATGAAGATGATAACGATTGACCCTTCATTTACATTTTTGAAGATCAAATTTGGCTGGAAACCATGGCGCCGGAAGAGAGTTCCACAAGCGAGAAATGCGAGTAAAGAAACTGTTGGCAAAGAACTTAGGTTACATCTAGCAAATTCAACTGTCAATATATGAAATCTTGCCGCCAATTTTGTACTACGCGTAAATTCATAAATTCTAGGTAATTATAGGGGAGAGTATATTCGAACAATTACCATGAAAGCATTTATAGAAAAACAATATGACTGAAACTGAGATATAAGTTGAGGACCAATTACATTGCAGATTCTTCTTTGGGTTTTATCTAGAATCTCTACATATACAGCAATGATACCAAACTATAAATGGCGGCAATATTCAAAGCAAGGGCGAATGGTAGACTTATAAAAATGTATGATAAATTCAGGAGAGAAAAACAGCTCAACACGACACAGTGAATCAAATTACTTAGCGCCAGGCTTAGCAATGGACGCAGTATAATCTTACTTCATGTCAGCCGAGAATGTTAGCCGAGAAAACGCAACAATTCACATGAGGGTTAGTATCAGCCATGTTGATGGTAGGCAGGAATTAGTTTTTTACGTGATTGATAGAGAGACGTTTCGTCTTGGAGGCGTTAAAATTAAGAGGACATTCCTTGCCCCAGTTAACAAAAGACTGTAGGTTATTTTTTTTAGATCAGCTGCCGAGTTGCTCTTAACGAATTGATCAGACCTACTATCGAATCAGCGTCAAAAGAAAAACCCGAGGTCAGCTAGAAGAGGACATATTTCCTGAAAATAATAAACTAGAGAAAACAGAGATGCCTGTCTATATTTCTGAGATGAAGTATTGTATACTATTTATACTGTTTCCATTTTTTTGGACTGTTGTTCTCATCTTTGTTGTCACATTCATGACGTTTCAGCCGTTGTAAGATCCGGCCTTCTTCAAGGTGTGTCTATATTTCTGAAATGAGGTATTGTAACTATTTATACTATTTCCATTCTTCGGACTGTTGTCCTTATTTTCTTGTCATATTGACGACATTTCGGCCGTTGTACACTTCAGGATCTTTCTGTATGTCTAAGATGAGGTATTGTAATTATTTACTCTATTTATATTGTTCGGACAGTTGTCATCGTCTTTGTTGTCATGTTCACGGCGTTTCGCACGTTGTCCCCCAGGAGATATGGCCTAGTGGATAAAAGCGGTGCTTGAAGTAATCCAGCGAGCTGACCTGTAGAGTTGTGTGCTCAAGAGTTGAACAAAACATAGAGAGTTGAGTTATTGAAAGGGAGGTAACTGAAACTGAGATACCCAGAAAAGGCATGGCACGTGGAACTAGAGCAATATACTATGGACGAAATAAAGGATTCGGTTCTAAATTCCAATCACGTGAAGAAGGCCGGAGCGTACAACGGCCGAAACGTCGAGAATCTGACAAGAGAGATGAAGATATCTATCTCAAAAAATGGAAATATGGTAAATAGAGCGAATTGTTTGAACGAGCTATTTGATAATATAAATGTTAAATTTCTTCCAGAAAATTACTTTTTCCTTCATTATTTTTCGATAATTTAGGCATTCAATTATCCGGGTAATATGTGTTCATTATCTGTCTATATCTCTGAGAAGAGGTATTATGTACACTGTTTACATTATTCGGACTATTGTCCTCATCTTTGTCGCCATATTTATTACAACGTTTCGGCCTTTGTATGCTTCGGCCTTCTTCAGGTGGTTAGAATTTCGAACTGAACTTTTTATTTCCTCAAGAACACATGGCACAATGGATAAAGGCGTTAGTTAGATTCAGTGACAGGACCAAAAGAGTGTGAGTTCAATACCCGGTTAAGGCAGTGGAGAACTTGGAGAGGGGAAGTAACAGGAGATAACTGTTAACTGACATCTGTTAACCATGGCACGTGGAACTAGAACAGTCTACCCCAGTGAGCGAAATAAAGGGTTCAGTTCGATATTCCAACCACCTGAAGAAGGCGGGAGCGTACAACGGCCGAAACGTTGTAATAAGTATGGCGACAAAGATGAGGACAATAATCCGAATAATGTAAATATGTTTTCATTTGAGGGTATTGTATTTTTGAGAAGCCTTGTACCAGCCGGTGTACTTTTTTTTTTTTCTTTTTTTTTTTTAGTATTCTTTACTTGCTGGAAGGATGCAGAGGCGAATAGATGATAGGCCACTGCGTGCATTTTCTCGTTCCTCGTTTGCAAAGTTATCCTTTTCTCGTCTTTATTCACTTGCCGCTGTTCAGTATACAAATATGGCCGAGGGCGGGAAGGACGGATTTACACCGTGA